AGCGAAAAAAAAGACTGCAAGAAACGGTTTCCTCAAAAATCTTTTGTATTCAAATTTTAATCCCTAATAAATTCACTTCTTTCAAAATTCTTTAATCTGGTTGTCAACTATATTTCACGGTAACAAATCGATAGCCTATATATTTTTAACCAATATTTCATTTGTTAAGCTAAACAAGCTAAACAAGCTTTAATACTGTAACATTGATAACTGGCAGAAAAGAAATAAAATGTAAAACTTGTAACTGCAGTTTCAAGTTTTACTGGTATAGAGGAAGCAATCACTGATCATTAGTTGGGTGACAAAACTGAATAGAAGTTATCAGAATAATCAATTTTACAGAAAATGTCGACCAGCACATTGCATTCCTCCTATTGCTTTTTTTTTTTTTTTCAGAGAGCAGCAAATTCAAACAGAATTTTATAATCTAACTGCTACTCCTGAACGTTCATTTATTATGTTTTATGCTAAAGATGGATCAACGATGTTGGATAAGAAAAAAATGGATGAAGTGTTTCGCATTGATAGCATTCTTCGTCCAAAGGTTGAAGTAAACGATAGTTATTCAATCAGAATCTGCCATCCACTTTGCGAATTGAACACACCTCTATTAATATTCTGGGTAGGTCACTTTTTTGCCTCCTCTGCACTTATATGCGGGTAAACGAGAGATAATTAGCTGCTTACGTAATTAATGCTTAAAAGCATTTGTAGATATAGTTGGTAACACTTACAAAACACTGAATGAGTGTTTTTTTTTAATATATAAATTAATCGAACGCTTAGTTTGAAAGCTTTTTTGAATAAGAGCACAAGAGAATTTTAGTGACTCTATGGCTGTTAAATAATTGCCCCTTTTGACCTATTAGATTCCTTGCTTTTTTAATGAAAGACATTTTGGCTTCTCGTTAGTTCTCTGTTTGGAAAAAAAAAAGATAGCGAAGTATTGCAAAGTCTGAAAGTGGGTTGAAAAGAGAGGAAGCTGGAAGAATGTTATGGAAAGTGTTTTTGTTTGAAGCACCTGTTAGAGAACGGAAAAAAAAGTTGCGTTTAAATTCTTAAACTTAAGGAGCATCACATTTTGGATGTTTTTAAAGCCATATAAATTAGACATTCTACCATAGTAAGACTTTTAGTTTGATTTTTGTAAATTATATTGAAGATATGAGTAAAATCACCAGTTTTCTTACTTGGTTTTTACAGTTCAAAAGTTATAACAAGTGACATAGAATTGTGTAAAGCGGACTAGGAAAGGTAGATAAGATTAGGAAGATAAGGGCTAGGTAGATAAGATTCTTAGAACGACTTCCTATCGATATTTGTTTGTTTCTGTCTACCCGAACAGTCACTTTTTTATGAAGGGAAAATAAAAACTAAAAATAGCGAAAATATTAAGTTCTTTGAAAATTCTTAGTAATTTTTTGCAGAGCCTTCTGTCTTAAAAAGTACAAAAATTTTAAGTGAATATTGGCTTAAAATTAATTAATGCATAAAAGTTTGGTAGCCTGCAAGAATTGCTGTATTTTTGGCTTATTTTTAAACAGTTTTTGAACTGCATGCATCAGTGTCTTTTTTCTTCATGCATTTTAGCAGCAAAAGATTCATTTCTCACTCTTTTCCGTAACTACAGAGATTTTAGTAATATGACATTAACCGTAATAATTGCACTATTTCCTGCATTTAATATGCAAATCTGTCAAAATTGCAATGTAAAAATACAGCGTAGCATAAAGTTGTCGCTGTATCTAGAAGTTTTTAATTGTATAATTTTTTTGTTTCTGGAATGAATAAAAGTTAGTCTGAAAATTTCTGTTCTCAAAATTTTAAAATGAAAATTTATGAATTTGTTCAGCGAACAACTTTCTTTTAACTGCTTTTTAGAGAAGATTGTATAACTTTTTTATTTTAACACAGTTAAGTCTTGTTTCACTACTTTTGCTTCACTTTTTTGTCGAAATAAGGAAGAAGTTTAAAGATTAAATTTTCGTACTTATATAGGAATTCTTCTATGTCACATTAAAAAATGTTCTTTTACATAATAGTAAAAAGTGTATTTTCTGAAGTCTTCTTCATCTCCCTTTCTTTGCTCCTCTGCCCTTTTTTCTTCGTCCTTAAGTACTGTTTTTCACCTTTAAAAAGTGACTTAAAATAACAGAAACGTTTGAAATTGGAAAGAAAAACTTGAATTAACCAGATTAATATTTCAAACATCACAGTGAAAAAGAAGTGCTCAGAAATTGTTGAAAAATATTTTTATATTAAGGGATAATTGGCAAGTTTTACTGATAAAAAATTTTAATTTCTTAGTAAACTCTAATAATTAAAAATTTTTTTCTACCTCAAAAGACCGAAAACAAAATGTCTGCAAATTCCCAAATGCTAAAAAAACTGTAACATTTAGACCATAAAAAGTTATGATTTAGTGTAGAGGTCTTTTTACGTAACATGTCCTAATTGAGTTGGCTAAAGATGTTAATAAATTCTTTTATATCCTAGATCTTCTTTAGTCAGCTCTAAAACACAGCAGGCTTTGCATTCTTAGCTCAAGAAGAACAATAAAGGCAGTTGAAAAGACGAGAAGAATAAAAAGATTTTGTAGTAGGATTTTTGTAGTAGGAATAAAAAGATTTTTTTGTAGTAAGCAATGTACCTGTTTTAGAAGTATTATCAAGACAAAAATATAACAAATCTAGAGCGCAACCATATAGTTCTTGACTTTCCAATGACAAAAATGTACGACCATGATGTTTTCGTTGGTCTGAATATGTTTGGAGTGAACAAAACTAGTATGTCTTTTTGAACTGTTTTTAGCTTTAATTTCGAGAGCTATTAAATTTATCAATAAACCGGTAAAATTTTACAGTCGACCCGGTTACTAATCGTTCAGTGATTACCCACGTCGGCACTATTGTCCTGTGGTATTTTTGGCATACAGATAACCCAGCTTTCAAAGAAGATCTGAGAAAAACTGCGATGGAACTTTTTGCACTAAGTAAAGCAAAAAATTTATCCACACTTGTTGATTTTGACATCTTCAGTGACGGAATCGCCAATGCCGAAATGATGAGAGGTGCTTACGAAGTAAGTCAAATTGTATCGGCAGTTACGCTTCTTTCATTTTTTTCACTTCAAAGACTTTCCTAAAATACATATTTATCTGAATAGTAACTCAAATTAACAATACCACATCAAAAACTTTTTTCAATAGTTTCCTCAATTGATCCATTTTACCATCATAAGTTTTGATACTTTGGGTCGTAGTTTTGAAACTGTTGGTAGTGGTAAGAGTGTTAATGACTCCGAACTTGATTTGGGATATTCACAACATTTGTTTCTCTTAAAAAACTGTATTTTTTTCATATTTCAAGAGTTCAGTTATTTCTCTCTTGAAAAGTTACTTTAAAGGCAACGAAACTTATGTGTATTGGATTTTTCCTCTTGTTGGTTTTCGTATTTACTGTTGTCTGGCATAAAGTCGAACGTCGCGCTCTGCCAGTGATAGTTTTCACCACTGTTCTCTCACCGTTTCTAGCTGCCGCAACAGCATTCGGAATAGTTTCATGGCTTCAGTTTCCAATATACAGCATTATGTGCGTAACACCGTTCTTAATATTAGGGATTGGTAAGTCTCTACTTATTAACATGTGTTTTCTATGGCTGTAGGAGACTGTCCTTATTTCTTTAATACTACTCACCCCCCCAAAAAGCAGCCACATTTCGTTCAATCTTGTTTACTTTTCTACAAACTGGATGGTTACCCATGATGCTGTAGGTGTTGACGATGCCTTCATAATGCTGCAGTCATGGGCGCATTCAACCGAAATAACGAATAAGCGCGAACGGATGTCTAAAGTGTTTGTCGAAATTGGACCATCAGTTAGTATAACTTCAGTGACCAATACAGTAGCTTTTGGGATTGGTTACTTCAGTCCAGCTCCTCAAGTAAGTTTATTTTATTTTTTTTTCTACTCATATGTCGTCTCTTTTGCGAATTTACTGACAGGATTTATTTCTTCCATGTCGCAAAAAACTGGATAAAGAAGAACGGTAATGTTTAGTTCATTGCTGTTTTTTCCTCCATTCTTTAGTTTACAGAATTAAGCGCGTGTGTAGATCTTATCACCTTTTCAGATGAGCATATTTTGTTTGTGCACTTCGCTAGCATGCATTACCGACTATATCTTAACATTCTCCCTGCTTGCACCAGTACTTGTGTGCTGCACTGGCACTTCAGATGGATTTCAGCAACCATCTGAAATAAGCAGATCACCAGTCAAAGTAACAACTGTCTCCTTTCCAACTTTGTTAATTTTACTTAATTTTACTCTGACTGCGTCGATCACTTAGCAGTGCTTTAAACAATAGTTTTTCTGGAAGAACTTTTATCAGTTTTGTTTAGAAGTCAGAAAAAGGCTTCATTGAATGGTATTCCACGGTCTTATGTGGTTTCAAATGTAAAATATTCGCGGTAGTAGTTCTCATATTAATGTACTCGTTCGCAACTTATGGAGTCTTAGGCATGAAATCAACTTTTGAACCAGACAAAGCATTTCCGTCTGATTCTCCACTGATGGCTTCCCTGAAAGGAATCAAGTAATGCTATAAATTTGGTGATTTTAGCGATGCTGTTCGAGCCAAACTTTTTTATTTTTTCACTTCGTTTGCAACATCAGCGAGCAATGTTGATGAAGAACTGCTCTTCGGGATAGAGAATTTTTTGATATTTAAGATAAATTTTGGAGACTTCTTGATATTCTGAAATAAATGGAAAAAGTTTAGTGGCAAAAGTACTTGAAAATGTTATCAAAATTTAGTGCTAAAATTATGCTTGTGCAGCTTCAAAAAACTTGAAGAAAATGACCAGCAGCAGTTTAGCATTTCAGTGAGACATACTATCTATTCATGTTCTAACAAGAATTCAAATGAAATTATACATCTCGCTTAATACTTTAACCGACTGGTGTTTAGAATATGTTCGGCTTTTAAATGAATTACTTTTCTTATTCTTTTTAATAAATCACCTTTCATCGACACTGTTATCACATTTAGGAACTGCAAGTTTTTTAAGCATATATCTTTATCTTATTCTTTTAAGCGTCTGGTGTGGTCTTTTTTAACGGCACCATTTACCCAGCTTTTTAATTAAATGTACACTTGGTTTTTAGGACAATATTTACGGAATTTTTTCCATTGCAAGTCATTATCAGCAAACCGCCAAATATTTCTGATGCTTACGAGGTATAAATAGTTCATTTTATAATAGAATTACTGATTTGTCAAATATGCTACTTTTTATTCTATGAGTGATTTGAGCATAACTTAAAAAAGGTTGGTATTGAATCATTTTCAGTACAGAAAGTTTTATGAAATGGTGACCGAACTGGAGAAAGTGCCTCAGAGTTATGGGCGTAATCACACTTTGCTGTTCTTAAAATCTTATGAGGCATTCGACAGAAAAACCTTTGATTTTTACGAACTATTTGGGCTTGCAGGCTCTACGGAATTTGTTCCGTCTTATAAAAACCTAGCTTTCTACCTGGAGGAAGTTAAAGTTAAAGCAGTTGTGCGTATGGGAGTTGACGAGCAGTAAGGCTTACAGTTTCATAAACATTTTGAATTTTAACGTTATGTTCTTGGGGACTTCTAAAACCAACCTTTAGAGGTAAATCAAGGCCAATTGCTTTCCAAATGACAGTCATCAGTTACGACATGGCGGAATGGTCAAACCGAGCTATCTACGTTGACAGATGCCGTTCTGTAGTTGCCCGTTACCCAGAGTTTAATGCTTCAGTACATGACAGTGAAGCATCAATCTTAGATCTGATCTTAACAGTAAAGAAAGACTTGATTGGGTCTGTTGCTGTAACTGTGTTGTGTATGGCAATAGTTTGCCTATTCTTTGTTCCCAACCGAGGTGGCTTATTAATAATAACTTTCACGATCTCATCAATTTGTTACAGTAAGTTTTAATGTGTCTCTCAACGAACAAAGCTAGGTAATTTTTTTGGATTAGGTAGTAATAATTCGTTTACTATAATATATAACTCTTCGATTTCAGCCTTGATTGGAGGATTGTCTTGGTGGGGTGCTGACCTTGATCCAGTAACGATGGTTGATGTCCTGATAGCCACCGGGTTCAGCGTCGACTACACAGCCCATATCGCGTACAGATATTATCGAGCGAAAGGGAATGCACAATCGAAACTGCATGAAAGTTTCACGCATATGAGTGCTCCTATGTTGCAAGTAAGTGCAAAAATCCATACATTTATTGTACTAATTTCTTGTTCCTTTAAATGAGTCCATCATTAACCTTATACCGTAACTGCAGGCTGGCCTCTCAACTGTTTTGTGTATGCTACCAGTGATTTATGTCCTCACTTATGCAATATTAGCTTTGGCTAAAACGGTTTTTCTGGTTGTTCTCATTGGACTGTTTCACGGGTTGTTCTTTCTGCCGGTGCTATTGGCGACATTTACCGGTACCCCTGATAATCCGCCATTACCGCAAAAGGTCGCACTCTGTGAACAGCAGAAAACGGACGAAAGGCTGCTGCTTTAAGAAATTTGAATAGATCTCACTAATATTCATTATCGTCATCGATATTATTAATGTTGTTGTTACCATTAATTGAAAATCTTGATAACGCTAAGCCAGAAAACATTTTTGCTGTACGGGTTGATAGCTTAAAGAAGAAAGATTAATAAGGTTTTGTTGTTGTGCCTATAAACTTGAAAATACAAATACCTCATCACCGACTTAGTTTCTTTTATTGATTTTTTCTGAGTTTTAATAAAAATCTGCTTTCAATGTAATGAAAACAAATTGTGATATAAGTTCCTGAAATCTTTTTTGTATTACTTCATTTATTACTGTACGATTATCGTGCTTAAAAACTCAGAACTTAGGCAAGTAGAGAATGGTTCGCTAAAGAAACTCTCGACCACCCAATTCATCTCTCCGTAGAGTTAAAAAATATATTTGCGATTTGTTATATATATCTGATTTCACATCAAATTACAAACCTTTAAGCAAATATTTAAGGCTTTTTTGAAATCTTGTTATCTACTAGTTTTTATACCCCGACTGAAGACTTGAAAACTGGAGACTTCTGTAGTCGGTCATCCTGAAGAAAATTTACATTTGGATCTTAAATATCTCAGAAATGCATTTGCCCAAGTCGTTGCTTCGTAAATCACAGTTCCATGAAGACGCTGCTCCAGTGCTGTACTTTTTCAAACTAGATATGCCTATAAAAAAGTTTCTTTATGAAAATTTAAAATTTGCAGTTTTTCCTACTACATTTATTTCAAATCTTTTTTTTTATTTTCAGTTGTTGAAATGTGTTTTGGACGCCAACTTTAAAGCTTTCAAGAGCCGTTTCTAGAAATTACATCAAATGTGCTTTGAAAGGATTAAAAGAGAAGAACTGCTTAGGGAGAAGAAGACGGTCAGCCTGATGATATTTGACTATATCTCACGTTTAAGCACATTCCAATTTTATAAAGAATGTGCTTGTCCAAAAAGAAATTCTCAAGTTTTTTTCGTAAACTAAACTTCTTTACACTTGCGAAAGTCTACATAGGTGTTTTCAAGTAAAACGCTTTTCTAGCCTTACCTTTGATGGAAAGTGATGGAAAGTCAAAATAAAGCAAGAAAATAATAAGAAAATAAGGTCTTTTACTGGAATTCCAGAGAACCTTAGGGACAATAAAATCACAATGAAGGTACTTCACGGTAACCCATATTGGTTTTTGGCGTTAAATTACAAAATATAAACACCTAACACTAAACAGCAGGTAAATTTCATTGTGATCTACCCCAAACACCTCTACCATTTAGAACTCTACAGACCGGAGCAATAAATGGTGGGAGTAGAATACCCATGAGTAAGAGGTATAGAAAATGGATTCATTAGTGATAAAGAGCCTACAAGAGAGGCAGCTGTAAAGCTTAAAACCACCAAACTTTTCATTCAGAATACCGTCAGTGAAAAAGTTCTATTGAATAACGGTTAGTTAAAAAACTGAGAATTCATATTTGCACACTTTTGCGTGAGGAAATGAATGGTGCTTAGTTATTTTTTAAACTGAAAGTGCGAGTGATTAGGGTCAACTAAACACGCATTTCTTCAATTTCATTGGAAAATTCCGCCTGTCAAATCGGTGCTGTGTCGGATCGCACACTTATACTTGTATAATACCTGTCTACTGCTACCTCCGAAAATTTTACAAACACAATGCCACTTTTAACATTGCTTTAGGAAGTGCAGAACGTTTTTTTTTTTGAGTCTTCCCTCTAAACTAAAAAGTAGAAAAACCGAGCAACACAAACTTCTACCACATTTTCTCCCTCAAGTTTCCACTGACCTAAACTTCGGCCGATCTAAACTACAGTATATCCTCGTCCAAAACTATATTTCGCTTCAAAAATATCAATACCTGACACGAAGACCTGCGGTGATATGAGACGCCATCTTTTAGGGCAATTAAGCAGCTTAAAAGCCGCTGGTTATAAGGTCCCCTGAGGCACTGAGAATTTAACTGTCATTCTGTTTTACACCATACAACTTCTTATTGGTTAATGTAATTGTGGGTTGCTTAGCAGAATGTTGCGACTAATCTGCTTTTGTTAAATAGGACTGTATTGCTTGGTTGTTTGAATGTTTGATATCCTAAGAGGACGAAACACGGTCTCTGTTGTCTTGAAAGTTCTTCGCTGTATTCTCAATTATTGTTTTTGCTTTTCTCCCTCACTTGAATGCTGTAGTTTTTGATAGCAAAAAGAGCAGAACGTGGATGCTACTTTATTCTAATGCTTTTTTATGTACAGATTTCCACTTGGTGTTTATACATTTTTTATCCATAATTGGTTCCTTCGTTAGGGTCTAATCGAGGTTATGATAATGAAATTGCTTGGCAGGAATAATTCGGCCACGCTTCTACAACTCAAAGGATTTTTGAGAGTTGAAATATGCCATGCTGTTTATTTACAAGCTCCTGAAAGAGAGGAAGCGGAGATTAAGCAAGGGTTTTGTTTTTTTAACCATTTTAACTAGCACAGCAGTTGCTGTCGCTTTCACTGACAGTTGTTTACGAATATTTACTTTGAACTTGACCTGCCGTTAGCAGTTTTTATAGACATGAAAGGTCTACTTGGGTGAGAGTTGAAGTATGCCAAATTGTTTATTATGAATTAAATGTTGTAGCGTACTGGTGACGGGCCGTCAGTTAAAGGATACTGACATGCATTTACCCAAACTAAGTGAAAAAGTGTGCTGTTAAAAATGGGAAATTGCACAAACTTGATTTTTTTTATCAGCTTCGTAATTCTTACACCATACTGCTCTGGAATATAGTCTTTGCCAGTAGCCCTTACAGTTCCCATGTCTCCAGGTGTACCGGACGCTGGCTGTAGCCTCAAACATAAGCACCACGTTATGACTCAAAATTGTGTTCTAGTGGTTACAAAAACTTGTTTTTTTTTTTTCCAACCGAATTCTGAGATAAGCAAAGCAACCAAGTTTTTGCAACTAGGGTTTGGGAACACTGGACGAAATTTGCCTTTCCGAGTACAAAGGCTTCTTTTTTATTGTTTGTTTTTGGTGGGTTTTCTGCGGCCGCTGGTTGAGTCTCAGGTAGATGAGGATGCAACTGGGTGCTTATTAGTTAAATTCAACTTTCAGCGGTCAGTTGTAGATCCTTGCGAAGGTTTTTAACAATTCCATGGTAGATTTGCAAGCGGCGCTCATCGGATTGGAAAACTACAAAAAATTTTGGAGAACAGAAGTGTTAGGTCACGTTTAAAGTAAGTTGCTGGCGATTCAGAAATAAGATTCTAATTTAGTCCCTGCTACTGTTTTTTGGAATTAATAAGTCAGGATTTGCGTGCAATACCCATTAGTCCGCTTTCTAGTACAT